GGTTAAAGGGAGAGCGATCAGCAGTAACCGAAGGTTTGTTGTCAATAGTTAAAACACTATTCTTTAGAATTGTGTTTTTCTATTGAAAAACAAATCTGAGTTCCCTGACAATTTGGCAAAAGCTGCCTGAGATCAGTACAACTTGATGCTCGAGAAAACGGCTGTTCCAAAAATTCTGATTTTTTTAGGATTTCTGGTGGGCCAGGTGATCTACGTTCTGGTCAGGCCCATGTCACTCCACTTTTGATGACATCATAAGGGGCCTAAGGACAATAATGGCGCGGTGCGCCACAATCGCTTTAAAGCTACTTGCCAACAGTTGCCATTTTTGAAAATATTATTTTGAAACAAAGTTACAAGTAATAAAAATATTGTAATAAAGTTGTTGATTAAATCGATACCATATCTAAAAACTTACTAAAAAATGATTTATTCATAGTAAAAATATAAGCTCGATGCGTTTTTACGTTGTTTTCCTGCAACTGCAGAGGATTTTTAAATCGTCTTATATCTTCAAAACCGGCCATTTCTTAGCATATTGCTGCTGTTTTTATCGCTAGAAAATTAGTGGACTTTCCAATGACATCAACGGTTGAGCCAAGGCCCTAAATACAAGGTTGCACGGACTTATTTCTACTAAACCTACCAGAATATAGTTTCACGGTTGAATATTTAAATAATTATTCAATCCAAATTTCTTTATTAATATCTCGTAATCATATATAAGCAATTTTATAAATCAACTTTCAATTTGCTTGCCTTTTACTAGCAAAATAACTTTTCTAGTATTGGGTCCACATAGTGGTGTAGCAGTAGGAACCACATCTGGCAAAACCCCAATACCTACATACAGCAGAAAAGCAGCCACCAGGTGTCGCTACAGTCGCAGCACAGATGTCGCGCGCGTCGCCAATCGCCAAACTACCGATTTCCATAAGGCTGCATATGTACAGATATGTAACGGAAAGTCGCCCTTAAGGATTACGCTTACATCCTTTGCTTATCAGGTCGATGGTTGGAAATTGGGAGGGTCTCGGCTATTTTCGACCACGGATATGCCTTTATCACATGATGAGGAACATGCTGATAAGCGTTTTATGTGTCATAACAGCACAAAAGTATTTTTTATCATTTTTCAAAAATAGCCGTTCTGCCGTATCTTTCAGTGCAAGGTGCCGTCGGTCATCCCCGACGTGACGTCACGCCGGGGATTTCCAGATTTTCCTACTAGACTTCGACGCCCCCTGGGTTGAGCGATATGTGTAGAGTGTCACCAACAATCTTCAAACGAAGTTAGTCATTTTTACGTTGTAAAGGAATGGAGCACCCCTTACGAGCATCAGGCGTGACGTCACTCAGGATCTGTCTCTGATTGGTCGGCGGGAGAGTGACTGTACCTTCTATAGATGGCCTTGGTTCTGGTATGGGTCTCCCCTCCGCGGACCATCTGGTGCACGTGCCACGTGACTTTGAAAATTCCCGTGTTAAAGGGACCCTCCCACCTTAACATTAGTTTTGAGTTGAGATAGCCAAATTGGTGGCCATGGCCTGCAAATACCGGTTTGGGCACTCACAACATCGAAAAATGCTTTAATTCGAAGATATGGAATTTCAAACTTGCAGTTTTCGGATTCTAAGGGGCTAATGCATTGGAATGCCCCCTTAGAATTTGTGACGTCAGCGGAGATCTAACTATTTTTAAATCTTAGACTAAAACCATCGTTAACACGTGGTGGTATACGCTGCTTTGCGCGCAACGTCTGCCGCATTTTAAGGCTGCCAAATTATTGCTTCCAAATAAAGTCGCTAGTAACAGGGGAGATCCCAAAAAGTAAACAAAAGTAAAAGCCTAATATCTTGAAAACCAGTGAATATTTTTCGGTGAAATTTGGTAGATATTCGTTTCCGCTCTTTCTGAACCAAGGGACATCACTTTTATGCCAATTCATTAACTTTTTTGAAGGTGGGAGGGTCCCTTTAAGCCAATGGGCAAAATGAAAAAATGCGTTCCACGGCAGATTGCTCGAAAACGATCCAAACGACCCCCCATTTACTTCCATGCGGATCAACCACCATTCGGTGCACTACCCATGGGTATGTCGCAAAGTGGCCGGAAAAGTCCAGAACCACGTGCCACGTGCCGTTGAAAATGACCCTGTACACCGGAAATTGGGACTTTTGGTCATTTCGGCGCACCCATGATGCATATTATGGCGTGGGTGACCAAACAATGGGTGTCATCCGGTCGGCAACTGTTTAAGGTGTCGTCCAGTGGGTCAAAGTGGTAGTTTCAAACTTTTTGGGATCCACCATTCTGGGGATTCTTTTTGACAATATACTTAGGTACGTTTCTTGGCGCAATGTTCATTCCACCCAGCCGGTCGTCGATGCGTTAGGTGACCCAAATGACGATTGACCTGAACGAAATTGGGGGCGAGAAACACGCACGTGCCATCCGTTCTTTACTCGGGCGCTTTCATCTAGGAGATTTTTGCAGATATCTTTTTGATTTGCGAAAATGACCAACCTAGCGGTATGCCAGTCGTTGATAAATTATTATCTTGCTGCGGCCGGGCTCTTATTTGCGGTGTTTGCGTTTGGCGGCTGGCGGGCGACTTTTAGTCGTTTTCGGTTAGCAGTTAGCGTCGGTGCGGTGCGGGCGGTTTTATTTTTTCGGCGTTTCGGCGTTTTATTTGTGTGGTTTGCGGCGGTCGGGCGATTTTTTTTCGCCGTTTGCGTTGGCGTTTTGCGGTGTTTACGTTTTGCGGCGGGCGGGCGTTTTGTGTTTTTTTTTGCGGTGTCTGTCTGGCGGCGGGCGGGCGGGCGATTGATGCGGGCGGTTTTCTTTTTTTTGCGTCGTTTGCGGTGTTAAATTTGTTTGCGGTTGGCGGCCGCTTTTTCGTTTTTTGCGGTGTTTGCTTTTGGCGGCGGGCGGGCGATTTTTAGGCGTTTTTGGTTGGCGGTTAGCGGGCGTGCGATGCGGGCGGTTTTATTGTTTTGCGGCGTTTTTGCGTTTTTTTTTTATTTGCGGTTTGCGGCGGGCGGGCGTTTGTTTATTTTTTGCGACGTTTGCGTTGGCGTTTCGGGCGTGCGTTTTGCGCGTTTTGCAGCGGGCGGGCGTTTTTCACAATTCAAAGTCCAAACCTTCGGGCCACAGCGCTCCTCGAAAAGCGCTGCCCTCGAGTAACCCATGCACCGTGCCACTCCTGCTCTAAACAGGACTAACGAATTGCATCCATTAACACCATTTTGGCTCAGTATTTGAATATTCGGCACATAAGTAGGACAAAGATATTTAAAACAACAACACACGTGCTGGTTTCATTCACGTGTTCCATTTTTCTATTTTTTTCCTAACATGGTACGTCTAAGCCAATCATCGCTACCGTCCAACATAGGCAAAAAAAGCAAAAACGTCTTACTTAATTCAACATAAGATTGCTGGCTTGAAAATGATGATAGAGTGTTATAATTTGGCATACCAATGCGCAAAGAAGACTGACGCAAACTTGATGAGAATTTTGGCTCGTTATTCGCACTCAAATTTGAGATGTAGGCCTACAAAGTTCGGAACGTTGTTTTGGGCCACCCGGTAGAAGAGCGCAGGGGCTATAACATATATTCCGGTTTTTCGAAATTCGGGGAAAATTTGGGAATTTTTTGCGTTTTTTCTAAAAAAATCAACTTTTTGAATTTTGGGGGTCAAAATCCCAGGATTTTGAAAATCCAAGATAACAGTTTTGTAGCGCCGTCTTTTGTCTACGTGACCATATAAACAACTTTGAAATTGCTTGGTAACTGTAGCTTTTGTGAGCTTTTCAATATTTAATGTTTTTGCTCATTTTTGCTCGAACATGACCTCAGTTTGACCACAATACCTAACTCCTGACCTAAGGTGACCTAAGACTTGAAACTATGTGTGAAGGTGTCAAATTGATGCCCGGGAAGGTTTGCAATTCAGGAAAAAAACGGGGGGACAGCAGGGCGGGAAGCTCCTAGCAGGGCCTCTAGGTAAGTACTTCTGACACTTAAAAAGTCAATACTGAGGTCGGCTAAAGTCATGAAAGGCCCTATATCGCCCACTATGATATTTTCGATGAGACTCGTAAGTCAGGAACAACCTATGATAGATATTATGAAGGCGTATAAAATCTTTAAAGCTCCGAGATATTGGTGGCCCTTCAAATGGGCCCTTGGCTCAAATAACAGCTCGGAATAGGGTGGTCAATGGTCATGCAGGTGGCTCAGATATCGTTGCTTTGAAGACTTCCTGTTCTTACGTGAACTTGAACACGCCATTGACTTGAGAGGGAAAGGAATGTTTTCTTCATTGACTTATAATGAAAAATAATGCTACAAAATGACAATACCACTGCCTAAGAAATGTGCACCGGACGACACAGTCTTTCCTATTTATATGTATAGGGATTTTGCCCCACTATTTTGTGAGTTCATCAAGCGTTGGACCGAGTCTATTACCATGCATAAATGGTCCCTATCAACATCGACTGATTACAGCTCCTTGAGCCCCTTGACTATGTGAAATATAAACCGGGTGAAAAAGACAGCGTTCGACAGCAGCGCTCAGCAAGACGGCAAATAGGATATCATCAAATACTCTTCTTTCACCATACAACTCTCTACGATATAAATACCTCTATACGGGCTCTATGCTATTACAAACGGGCAGAGGGTGTTGCATTATGTCTGAACAGTCTTGGATTTGATAAAAGGGAATGGTACTTTCCTTTAATAATTCTAAAGCAAAGTAAGGCTAAATCACCATATCAAAGATGGATGTAAAGGCGCTCGCCTGTGACCGGCCCCCGCGGTCGGGTCGGATCGGTAGCCCGGCCGCGGCAGGGGACGGATGTGCGCCGGATCTCGGAGCGTCGGCGCCATCTCATTCACACATCAAAGGATAACGCCGGCGCCGGCCTGCGCCGCCTGCCGTTCACGCCGACTCCCGTCCATTGATGTGCGCTAACATGATCGGAACGCCGGACATCGAGATGGGTTTATTTTGGGAATACTGGCATTCACGAGTCCTGCGCATTATCCTTAGGATCGCTCTCAAACAGAGAGAAAACGCCACCTTCAGTTAAAACAGACAGCATGAGACACAGCAGGACAAAGACGTTGCAAGAAAACGGTCAAGGGTACTGGCAGATGATATGTCTTTGCTGCGGAGAAATTCAGACTCAACACAATATCATAGCATGCACACTTGCACAAGCCGATGCACACATAGGCGCCCAGTGAACGCGTCATCATGACTCAGACCGAGGCCTTTCGGGGACTCTTCTGATATGTACTGCCCAGCGGCTAGCCCACGATGTCACGACGCCGAGCCTGAGGTCACGCATGCCGGCCCCTGAGGTCCCTCTGACCTGAGGCCAAATCGGCCTGACCTGAGGTCAAATCGGCCTGACGTGAAGTCACACCGGTCTGACCGGAGGTCAAAGCGGCCTGACCTGAGGTCACACTACTCTGACCAGAGGTCACACCGGTCTGACCGGAGGTCAAATCAGCCTGACCTGAGGTCACACTACTCTGACCTGAGGTCAAATCGGTCTGATCAGAGGTCAAATCAGCCTGACCTGAGGTCACACCGGTCTGACCGGGGGTCGCGCCCGGTGACCGGGCCGTGCCCTGCCGCCCCTGCCATGTATCCCTCCCTGTGTTCCTGCGGCTGCGAGTGACGCCTGGCTGCCGGGGCTGATCTCAGAGCCGAGTCAGCTCAGGTCGCCCAGGGGGCCAGCTCAGGCGACGACGGCGCCGTCCAGCTCCGGGGGCCCGGCACCTCCCTCCAGCTTGGAGAAGATGTATTTGACCAGTATGCGGTAGCCGCGGCGCAGCACCCGACACTCTGTGGCGTCGGCGCATTCCTCTGGGGGCGCGGGGCACAGGGCTGGTCAGAGAAACTGCCGTCATGAGAGGGAGCGGGGAAAGAGAATTGAAATAGAAAAACGCCTGGTGAGGATACAACGAATGACATCACATCATATCAAACTCAAATCCCATTTAAAACCTTATCTATGATAGGTATAGAAGACATAATTGAACACCAGCTATTACTTTATTTAATGGGAGCTTTTGTAACTGTATATATATAGCTTAACTGTATATATATAGCTTAACTGTATATGTAACTGTATAATATTAGCTAATGTAACTGTTCAATGTTATATGGATCTGTTTTAGTGTTTTGTACCAAGGCTGACGAAGAAAGCTGCATAGCTTTCGAAAGCTCCCATTAAATAAAGTAATAGCTGGTGTTCAATTATGTCTTCTATAACTATGCAACCGTCCCAGCTAAATAACAATATTTACAACTTATCTATGATTAGTTAGATATGAGGTCAACCTTGATGAGCATCTTTGTCAGGAATCCGTCAGTTCCCACTGCAGTGAATCGTTGAACAGATCCGGCGCGCGCGCTGAGGTCGGGTACGTGCGTGACTGACCGAAGCCGCAGCAGTCTGGGTAGCTGCAGACGCCCTCGATGTAGCACGTGCCGCGTGCCCCGCGGTCCCTCTCGGAAGGCGGCCGCTGGTAGCGCGGCTGGAGTGCCAGCAAAAACCGCTTCTCCGTCTGGAACGGGCGCAAAGTGCCGGGTTAGGGCAGACCCGGCAAGTCCCAAAGTCAGCGGGCAGGCATCAGGCTGAGCACGGCGGTTCGGCTCCAGCTCGGTCTGCATCTGTGGTCAACATAAACGTAAAACTATCAGCTGAGCCGTCAGGACAGTGCAGCCCCCCTCCAACTATTTTTTTTTTTTTAAGAATTCTGCAACTGATTCGTACCACAAAATCATTTTGATCAGCGAAGTTCTGTCTGGTCTGTCTGAAGACAGTTACCTGCTGTCTGATCCGTCTGAATACAGTTACCTGCTGTCTGCAGAGGAAAGTCACCCGCTGTCTGGTCTGTCCGCAGAGGACAGTTACTGTTGGCTGATCCTGCCACGGGGAACACACCTGCTGTCTGGTCTCTCAGAGTACAGTTACCTGCTGTCTGCAGAGGACAATTACCTGCTGTCTGCAGAGGACAATTACCTGCTGTCTGGTTTGTCTGCGGAGGACAGTTATCCCATGGCTGGTCTTCGTTTGTTGGTTTTGTTGAGGGCAAACTCTTTCGGCAAAAAAAAAACATTGCAGAGCTATGAGATGTTAGGATAGGGTATGGACATTGGTCATCCACCGGTTAACAGGAGCCCGGAAAAGGAGTGTGAAGGGGATGCGGATGGGTTTGCCCTGAGGATGACGAGGACGGATGATGTCTGGTGTGTCTGCGGAGGGCAATTACCTGATGTCCGTTCTGCCTGGTCTGTTTGCGGAGGGCAATTACCTGATGCCCGGTCTGTCTGGTTTGTCTAGGGACAGTCACCTGCTGATCGGGCCCGCGCTCCAGCGGGTCCAGTTTGCTGCTGTCTGATCTGTCTGGGGAGGGAGGACAGTCACCTGCTGATCGGGCCCGCTCTCCAGCGGGTCCAGTTTGCGCACCGGCGGCGCTCCCAGGGGCAGGTAGGGCACGGCGCCCGTCTCCATTCGCAGGCCGGCCAGCGCCGGCGCCGACCGCTTGCCGCCTTGTGGGCAGTTGGTGATGAAGCAGGCGGCGCTGAGGCTGAGCTGCAGGGCCAGCAGAGTCCAGAGCCGCTGCGGGCACAGGCCACCGTCACATCAGCGGCTGGCTCCACACCTGGCTCGGCTGGCCAGACATACACTCTTTAAAGGAACAGGCGTCTTCAGACATGCTGGTTAATGTTTATCGAAGACGTTGAGATTTTATAACACATCCCCTAGAAAATTGTGCTTTACTTCATAGCTATCCAAATAAGTAGACTTTTGTTGCCAAGGTTATTGCGCCCGGCCAGCGAATATCTTTATAATACAAACAAGATCCACTTGTGAAATCTTTGTTCAAACCTTAAAATACTGAACAAATATCCTTGCGTTTTGGGAACAATTATCAATATTCAATATCAGACAGAAAAGCCGGAAAAATAAATCGATAGCCGCTTTGAACTGTTAACGAGACGTGCTCACTGCTCAGTTAGACTTATGTTAGCCAATAAGCAACGCTCGTAACTGCATGGAGTGGGGCCAGTCACAACTGCACTGTACCAGTAACCACAACGCTGAATGAGCCCCCGCTGCGCTGCTGTCAATGACGGTCGGCCTGAGTGAATGATCTCTGCAGAGTGCAACGCCAAAGAGCGATTGACGAGCGCCAGCCGGCAGCCGCCACGCCCCAGGTCGTCAGCGAGACCAGTACACAGTACACACACAGCCGGGGGCCGGGTCGCACGGAGCGGGCCTCTGTACTCGGTCAGACACATATCCGCCAGCTGTGAGCGACACACGACCTCTCACACTGACCACAGGTACGGCGAGAGTAAACAGCTTGTTTTCGCCCCACAGAACCAAATAGATCATAACACAAGAATCGATAGTACTATTCTTGCGCCTTTTCCAATACCTATACTGTAATGAGCCGAGCCGAGCGCCATCGTTTAACCCGCGCCCTGCTGGGGGGGGGGGGGGTGTTTGAACACCCCCCCCCCCTTGTGGTTTTTCGCGAGTATCTCAAAAACGACCTTATCATACATCAATTCTACACATGTTGTGAAACTTTCAGACCACGGTCATTCAAGGTCAGGTCACCAGGTCACTTGAAGTGACCTCACCTCATAAAAAGTTTCAATGTCTGTCATAGCTACACCGAGTGACCGATCGCTTTGAAACTTTCAGCGATTGCTAAGAGCAATAGCATGTACAAAATGTATATCTCAGAATTTTGATATCGATGACCTAAGGTCAGGTCAATTTTGCGACCTCCCCATTATAAGTCAATGGGAGAAAATTGAAATGCGCCTCTTTTGGACGAAAGACATTATAAACACTCCCAAACACCAAATTACAAGTAGTTTAGACACACTGAACATGAAAATGGTGTCCGTGACCCTTGTTTGTGCCCTGAGGTCATCTTAGGTCACGAATGGTATCTAACAGTTTTTCGCAAATAACTTTTGATAGAGGCATGCTAGAGCGATGAAAACGCCTTATATGTGTTCAGCTCGACTATACGGATCGACTGATATGCAACATGACCCTTTCCGGCCAGGTCATGACCTTGACCTGAGGTCCAATTTTTAAGTTGACCTTTCAAGGTCAAGTTATAGTTCATTCGATGCGTCTTGACGAGAGGAACACGATGCCGGTAAAAGTAAGCTCGTACAAGGCTTGGGTCAAAAGTTATTGCAGAAAAACTGTTTCCGAAAAAATCGGCTATTCCCAGCCAGCAATCCCACTCCGTTCCCGATCGGGATTTTCGGACTCAGCCCGCACCACCCCGATCGGGACCGGAGTGGGACAGGATTGGGAAATGAGACACTTTGTACGGGCTGGAACGGTCCGGATATCCCAACCTACCCCGCACGGTCGGTTGGGAGATCCCGCACGTATCCGGACCGCCTTATGACGTTTTAACAAGCGCTTAACTCCGATCCCGATCGGGATTCCCCAAATCTCCCCGCACAACCGGTTCGGAAATCCCGCACGCATCCGAACCGCCTTATGGCATTTTAACAAGCGATGAACTCCGATCCCGATCGGGATGTCCCAACTCGGCCCGCACGGCCGGTTCGGGAATACCGCAGGTATCTGACATATTAACCGCAGTATTATAACCGCAGATTGCTGTTATGCAGATGCGACCACTTTGCTTGCGCCACCGCAACCCCCTCGCCTCTTCATTATTCTCCAATTCAACCTTTATAATGCCTGCACGACAAAATGATTTACATTGGACACTGAAATATATTCACAAATTTACTGGTTGCACACAGGTCAAATTTTTACAAATTCACAGCCTGGCCAGCACATTCATGGCGTCGGCCAGCATCTTAGCGCCGCTGCAAGTCGCTGGCACAGTGGACTCACTTCCGGTGTTCACAGTCATTAAATCAGGCCTGCGCCTTGTTCGTGTCGGCTCCTCTGCGGACAGTGTGTCCCAGAGGTCGAAAACCTGCCCATCCCTCCAACCGGTGTTGGAGCAAATAATTGACCGAATATCAATGCAAACGGAAAATAATCGATCACCAATGATCAATATTTTACCTGCATGGCCATTCCTTGCATCCATGTGCAATTTCAAGCTTCAGCCAATGATCCACTGTGGGTACCTTCGGTTTATATAGGATACCTTCTAACCTACCCACGGCCTGGCTGACTTGCTCCCAGTTGCTTCCATCTTCCTGAAGCAAGTCGGTGTCAAAAAGGCTGCTTTTCCCGTTATCACGAACGGAATTTCGCCCTTACAGCAGTTGTAGAAGGTGGCAGTTTTTTAGAGCGTGCAGTCCATGGAATAGATGTCGCTGCGGTCCGGCCGCGATATCCAGTGACATCTACGCGCCGAACAGTAAGAACTTAGAAGCACGGGCACGGCATAAACTCTTGCACGCCTTTGTTTCAGCGCATTGAAGCTGTCTGACGCTAACTGTATTGGTGTTCAGTGTGCATAGAAACGCGAGAGGGATTCAAGTTCTTGACCCGTGCTTTAGGCTGTGCAACAAATCATTTTTCTTGTGGAGCAAATTTTAGGTCGGTTGGAGAAAGTCTAACAGTTTTTTCGACCTCTGGTGTGTCCGTCTGCCGTCACGGGCTTCAGAGAGCCACCGCGAAACTATGTAGACGGCTGGCATCTGGTCGGGCGGTTCACCACTGTGCGAAGAGAGCATCTGAAAATGACCAAGAGGCAGGGCATATTTTAAGGATTTTTTACTGCGTCCCAAAGGTGGCATAGGGCACATGCTTCGATCGGAAAGGGCACATACCACATTGCAAGCGAAATAGTAGGTATAATGCAGGTGAGATACACGTGTCATTGTGTAATGTGCCGGTGGAGGGACAGCAAGCGGGATATTGGGAGCGGGCTGTGATTGCTTTTGGCCAGTCTCGAAATTCGCCCAGTCATAGCGCGTTCTTTTTCCGCATTCAAAGGACGGACCGGCGATTTAATGACATTGATATTGCTGTTAGTCATTCGTTTTCCTGAACGTCGTTGGGCGTGTTTGACCTCCCTTGATGCACCTAAATGTACCTACGTTTAGAGAATAAACATAGATATGGAGACCCATGGAGGGGGGGGGGCTGATAATTAGTTGAGCCGGAATTGGGATAGAAGCCGGTATGGGATTGGGATAGAAGCTCAGCGAGACTAAGGGATTGTGTGGTGCCTTCGGTACGCCCCTCAAAATCACCTGTGTAGGGCCCTCAGGGCCGCCGGTTATGAAGCCATTGGAGGCACTGGTGTGGGCCCTCAAAGGTACCGGTGTGATGCTCTCAGAGGCATTGGTGCGGGGCCCCAGAGGTGCCGCTGTGGGCCCTCAGAGTCGCCGGTGAGGGTCCTCACAGTTGCCGTTGTGGGACCTCAGAGACACTGCAGTGTGGGGTTGTCACAGTGGGGTGTGGGACCCTTAGAGCTGCTGGCTCGAACCCTTTACAGGCCGACAGGGGCTCTTAGAGACCGAGAAGGGGCTCTTAAGAGGTCTGCGGTGCCTTCGGGAGCCCTGTGGAGTCCTTAGAGACCAGCAAGGTACACTCAGACGCCAGTGGGGCCCTCAGAGTCGTCGGTGTGGGGCCTAGTGATGTCAATTACGGAAAATCGGAATACCCCGAATACCGATACCAAACCAAATACCAACCAAAACCGTGGAGAAATACCGAAACCAAACCAACTTGGGAACATGAGGAAAATACCAACTTTTTACCGATTTCTTAGCCTCTTAAACATTAGCGAGGGTTCATGATACCAACAAAATACCAAACACATTAGGATTGAAATACCAAATACCGAGTTGGTATCGGTTTGGTATCGGTATACCAAAAAGTTGGTATCCGATTGACATCTCTAGTGGGGCCCTCAAAAGTCACCGGTGAGTGGCCGTCCGATGCGGCTCCGGCGTTGAGCCCCCAGAGCCGCCGATATATGGCCTTAAGAAGCACTGGTTTCGGGACCTCATTCAGGGGTGCCGGTTGCACTCAGAGGTGGCAGTGTTGGGCCCTCAGCTAGGCACCGGTGTGGGGCATTCACAGCCGCCGGTGAGGGCCCTCGCAGGCGCCGTTGTGGGGGCCTTCAACCATTGGTTTAGGGGGTCATCGCAGGCGTGTGTGGAACCCTTAGAGCTGCTGGTCCCTGATAGGCCGGTAAGGGCCCTCAGAGGCCGGCAAGTAGCTCTCAGAGGTCGCCAATAGGCCCTGAGAAGCCGGCAAGGGGCCCTCAAAGGCCGACAAGGGACACTAACTAAGTTAAAAAGCCGGTGTGGGGCTCTTATGGAGAGAAGTGTGGCTCTTCGGAGCACATAAGGTGTTCTGCCGAGCCCTGTGGGGCCCTTCTGAGTCGAAAGATGCCAGCGTGGACCCTCAGCCGCCAATTGGCGTCGCAAGGCCCCTCTGGCCCGAGAGGCCCCCTGATCCGATGGGGGCACGTGCCCCCTGCTTCCCCTCCCCCGGGTGCAGATAGAGAATGCAATCGGCGGTGCGGAACACAACAATTGCAATCGTTCCTCCTCCCGTCGCGAGGTCGCCCATCGCCTGAAGAGTACCGGGGGATCATCATCATCATCATCATCATGATCCCCCGGTACTCTTCAGGC